GTTGTAATCTCCGTTAGATCAACTGATCTATAACGGAATCCTGTGCTACCCTTTTCACGGAGTAAGTCACACTGACCAAACAACATAAATCTGGTGTCCAGTTCATTTCCTAGTTCTGTTTATTATCGTGTTCGATCATTTGTTTTTCGCAACTCAAGTACAAATTTTGGTTTGAAAATAAAACAGGGAATTTGGACTATCATCTATGATCTAAATCTAACATATAAAGGATACGAAAACTTAGTGTAGAATTGCAGTCTTACGAAACACCCTCATATATAAAAGTAGGAAATAGTAATCAATTCAACTCAGGACTTTTTGCAGTATTTGCTCAGACTAAAGGCAGAAGGGGACTCGGATGTGGATACACCAATCACCATGACTCAACTCAAAGCCCTACTTCTGGTATGTGCATTCATTGTTTAAAAACAATCTCCTGAAGTAAATAATATGACAGAAACATACGTAAATTAAAAACTTTGAAGTATACTGAAAAAACATTCTGTATATCATCCATGCGAATGGAATAATATCAATTTTCACTTATCTTTGTCATCCACCTCCACATATGTCGACAAATGCTACAACATAAATTCCATTGAAAAGTTAGACATAAGTCTATATTGAGTGTTCAATTAATAGAGGACGAGTTACTCTTGAGCCCTAGGTTACCAAACTAATCAGAACATCACTTGTATATTAACATAGTAAAAATATGGTCTCCGAAAACGCAAATATTTTCTTTTCCACCCCCAGGCACAATTCTCTCCTGTACGATTATTTCTACCGAAAATGATACAACAAGTGACAGGCAACAAGCCGTCCCTATAAGCTGGAAAAGTCTTCCCTGATGTTCATTAGCAACGTCACACCATAGTCACTATACTCTAGCCTCTAAATAGAACTAGCAACAGTATTGTGAAGCCTGTCGCCGAGTATATTAAAGACGACTAAAGGTCCCGTCAACAAAAGACTGCAATAGGGATGATCTCCCTGCCCTAAAACTCGCTTGAGGATTGTTCACTTCGTATACCATGATTTGATAATCCTATACTGCAATTTTATATAGTGATGATTGTGCATGGATAGGACATGACAGTTGGAGGGACTGAGACGAGCTCCAATTTGGTCGAGTTCGCCATGGCCGAGATGATCAAGAACCCCGAAGTGATGTCCAAAGCCCAACAAGAGCTTGAACAATTAGTAGGCAAAGACAACATATTGGAAGAATCACAGGTGCACCACCTCCCCTACTTAAAAGCAGTCATGAAGGAGACTCTAAGGTTGCATCCTGCCCTTCCACTATTGATGCCTCATTGCCCTAGCGAGACCTGCATCGTCGGGGGCTACACGGTCCCAAAGGGCTCTCGGGTCCTTATCAACGCGTGGGCCATCCATCATGACCCTTCCTTCTGGGAAAATCCGTCCAATTTCGACCCGGAGAGGTTTGCAGGTGCGGACAACAAGTGGGACCTCAATGGGAGTGACCTGAATTACATACCGTTTGGGTCGGGCCGCAGGATTTGCCCTGGGACAGCGATGGCAGAGAGGATGGTGCTGTACTCCCTCGCTACGCTTGTGCACTCCTTCGAATGGAAACTGCAGGGTGGCGGTGCGGAGAACCTGGATATTTCGGAGCAGTTTGGCATAAATCTGAAGATAAAAGAATCGCTTATCGCGATTCCTACGCCGAGGTTGTCTGATCCCGCACTCTACGAGTAAACAAGATGGGTATTAGACTGATTCTATGAGTAACAAGATGAGTATTAGACAGGTTAGTTCTAAATGGATGAAAAGAATGTTTCCAAAGAATAAAAAGAAAATTAATGAAGCTGCTGTATGGTAGAACACTAGCGAGAGTTGAGCAGGCGTGTGACATGTCTATACTAGTGTGCCCTAAGATTGTAACTGTATGAGGTGCAATAACCAGCAATAAGTTTTAAGGTGTGTTGCAATTAATTATAAGATTGGTAACGAATGTCTGTGGACACTAAACATCTAAATAAAGAAAAATTGGCATTTTCCAAATATTGTTTTTTCAATATGAAAGACTTTCTTCATAAAGTTTGGTTAATCATTGTCTCGCGGCACTCGTTAACAAGACCCTATTAACCATAACTAATTATAATTATCGATTTCAGATGGTGATGATTAATCATTTGACTCTTGGTTCATGAACAAGATTATACAATTTTTTCTATATTCATCTATGGCATATACGACAGTTTGCCCCAGTTATTTTGTGACGAGTACGTTTATCTTTAGCCACTTTTTTTTTTTGTCACCAAATCTATTAACGGACATTGGAGAACTGTAGCCAATCATACAGTGTGTTCCTCATCTTTTTTTTGTGTCATTACTCTTCATTTTTTTTCTCCTTTTACTAAAATTATCATTGCTCTCGTAAATGAAGTAGACATGGTTACTTCTGACTTTTAAGTTTTGAAGCATTTGAAATTCGACTGATTATTTAATGTAAAACACACCATTCTTTACGAATCAGGATCAACATTTAGTATTGTCTGCGATCATAATGATTTTTCTTATTAAATTTTCAAGTTAAAGTTTTTTTAATATTGACAAGAGAATTAATAAGTAACTTTTTTAGCTGAAAGAAAGTCAAAACAGGGTTCCGAATACCCACCTGCGCATGGCTGAGTTGGTGGGCACTTTCCTTCCCTCCTAGAGGTTCTGGGTTCGAATCGCCGCTCGGCTCCGTAATTTAAGTGGGGGGCCCTGGCGGTGGGTTGCTGGGCTAGTCTCCCCCGAGGTATAGACGCCCCGATTACCCGTGCGGGCTCGTCCCTGGGGAATGGTGGCGGATCCTCGGTTACAAAAAAAAAAAAAAGGGTTCCGAATAAACCAGTTAAATGTAGGGATGTGCAAAACGAACCGCCCTAATTGAGAACCGCCGGATCGGACCGAACTAGCCATTTGGTCCGGTTCCCGGGAGTGTCGATCCGGTTCCCGGTTCCTAAAAGTGAAACCAGTATCCGGGTAGTCCGGTTCCAAGGGGAACTGGACTGACTACATATATGTATTTTTTTTTGTGATTAAGTGTGGTCGGCATAGGGAATACAATTTCAATTTTAAAACATATATGTAGTCGGCATGGGGAACACAATTCTAGTTTCAGAATATATGGTATCAATTAATGGGAAAAAAAAAGTGAGCGGTTCCATTGGACGGGACCAAACCGGGAACCGATCACCTCTAGTTAAATGCAAGGACATATATCTAGCATTAACTCGATTAATGTACTCATTACCAGAAAAAAGAGTAGTCAATTGACATGTATGCTTGTTTTTTGACCCCGAAAAAAAATTCTTGACATGTATGCATGTTTAATATCATTTCCTTTACAAACCACTTAAATCTTCTTTGACTACGTTTGGTAATCAGGATAAAATTCATGATGGGATAAAATTAATCATACCCTGTGTTTGGTGCCAGCTCAAGACAATATAAAATTCAATATAAGAGGGATATAACCAGGATAAAATTATCCCATGAGGAAGGTGGGATAAAGGTAGATATGATTTCTAATATATATAATATATAAGTTATTTTTCTCGAATAACAAACTTCTTAAATCAATAAAATTAAAATATCATTTGAATATAAATAATATTTTAATTCCAATATTAAAAATAACAACAATTTCATTTTTATTTATTCCTATTTTTATTTATATACTCGAATTTCTTTCTATCTTATAGTATAAATTCAATAAATAAATATATATTTAGTATATATATCTATTACATATTTTAGGTATTTTAGTATTTTAGGTAAATTAGTATAGTTTTCTATGTAATAAAATTTTATTAGAGAATGATGGAGGTGGAAAATATAAAAAATAAAAAAAGAGAAGAAAAAATAATGAAAATTAAGCAAATGAAACAAAGTAGGCAAGAGTGTCGTGAGAGATTTTTACCATCTCCGTTTGTGCAATTTTTAGGTTCATTTTCATTGATATGCTATTTATACCAAACACAACAAAAGACGTTAATATTTCCGACTTTATTACTGTGATTCACAAAACATTAGATATGATATAGCAAAATTCCTGGATTTCATATGGTATTCTATCTAATCATATCATGGTTAAAAATTCAGACAACCAAACATTTCCTTTTCTTTCAATCGATGCACTTTAATTGAAACCTAACAAATTTTCCGACAAAGTGCTGACGTGGGGACACGTTGCCAAATTTTGGGACGCCACGTTAGTTCACTCCAGCACTTCTCTATAAAGCTAACTGGATTTCGGTCAATGTGCATTAATCGAAAGATTAGAAAAGTTTAGTGCACCCCGAAAAGAATAATCAGATTTGAATGACCAGATTGAACATTCTTACCGTTTAGTGAAGCTTATGAAAACACGTTTTGAAAGTGTTCCCATTATGGAGAACTATTAGAGATTAAGTCAGTCAAAAGAGTAATAACAAAAGCTAGAGTGGGCAGAGAAACTTCTCATTCTTGCTTAACAACTTATCTACCCATTGCTTCGAAACCGAATTGCCGAGCGGAGCTTTGGTCGCGCCTGGTTGTGGCTGTGGAATGCCAAAGAGGCAAAACAGGCGATTCCTAGAGCAAATACAATACTTGCTGTCATAGCTCTCATAGCCGTGGGTTTCATCCTTTCATTCAGGAGGCGAAACAAAGCTCTTGCTCCATTGCCTCTACCGCCACAGGACGTACCGCTTCTCGGGTACCTTCACTTTCCTTTGACCCATCTTCAAACTCTCTGGCTAGGGAACAAGCTATACTTCGTGAAAAGCTCCCTGGCCCTGGCCAGAGAAATCCTGAGGGACCAAGAGGCGACCTTTGCCAATCGGGACCCGAGTGTCTCTACAAGATCATGAGCAACGCGAGACTCGACACTTATTACGGCTCGAGGGGGAAGGAAACTAGGAAAACTGAGGGGTCTAGACAAAAATTCCGGGGTGCAGTAGATGTTGGCAAGTTGGCCCTTTTTGGCCCAGATCAATGCCGTAATGGCGATGTTGAGGGGAGGGACCCTTGGAGAAGATCAGGCCGAGAGCTTAGGGTCCAAGTTCCGGAGGATGGTAACCGAACTCCGGGTGGTCTGGGTCATCCGTTCAAGAGTTTTCTCGACTCTGTCATCGATCATGGAAGAGTGAATGAACAGAAGAAAAACTTCTTGCAGCTTCTCCTGCGAAATATTGTTAACACTAGCTTACGTTGCGACGATTTGGTCTTCATGGTTATAAATTCAACTGTTGGAATAGGACATCGTGGTCGGCAAGACCGATACAACTTCGATGATGATGGAATGGGTGATGGCAGAGTTGCATGTCATGAACAAAGCAGTAAAGGAATTGACCGAGGTGGTGAGATGGATCGAGGGTGTAACTTTACCAAGGCTGAAGCATATTGATGCCGTCATCAAGGCGGCGCTCCGCTTGCACCGGGTGCTGCCTCTATTGGTCGCTCACTTGATGCATCCTGCGCCGTCCGCCGATAAATGATAGAGAAGGGCAGAAGCATATTCTTGAACGCGGTCCCAAGATTTGGGATAAGCCTTCCTAATTCATTTAATCATAAGGAAACACCTGCTTTTTCATAGACATCGCTCCATTTTGGCTTGTCCATTTCTTTAAAAAACGGGGTCATTTTGGTTTAATCTCATCTTCAAATTACAAGCCGAGCTTCACAGCCCTTTCTATGCCTAAATTGATACCGTCAGAGTGGAAGGTAAACTAGTGTCATATGTCGAGTCATTCTGTAATATGTTTGATTAAATGTATTACACGAGTCAAGCCCCGAGTTATAGAGCAACTCGATCACATGTTTATTCTTAAATTTTCTTCAATTGAACCAGCATGGTTCTATCATGAGTTATTTAATTAACATGCACGAGCTTCACGAATTTCTTGTTGGGATTGAGTATGTATACGTTTGTATGTTGGCGACAGAAATTATCATTTAGAATTTCATAAAAGGAAAATTGCGATGTATAATACATCAAGAATGTAATCAATATATCAAATTCTCTAAAGTCTAATCCCATATTAAGATCAAGTAAGGTTTTTGTGGCATAGTTCTCTGTCATGTAATGTCTTAGATATTTGGTACATTTAACAATATGCATTTTTACATGGTTAAATAATTTTTTTAAAATAAAGATTTAAATAGTTGAGGGTGAAACAAAGTATGATTTCTTTTGGCCAAGTTGAGAGTATGATTGGAACTTATGAGTCGTTGGTTCGAGTAAGGCTCCATTTTACCAGATAAAAGGTGTTTGCATTCAACATTGCCGTGACCGCGAGAAGCTACAATTTAAACATAAGATTTTTTGCATCCGGATTAGGCGTTTTAATCACTCCGTTAATCCCGAAAACAATTGTAGGATGGAGAAGGTTGTATTCATTAAAACAGTACTTATGGGGAGATGATTGGAAATAAAAATTTCCACCTGAGGAAGGCGAACTAAGATATATATATCCTTTTTATCATAAGTTGAGTAGATCATCACCTCGCTTCAATGCCCCCTCGACAGAGGAGGAGGCGGCGGCGGGTAGCCCATGACCGCTGTTTTCGCATCACAATACGGAGAGGAGGAGATGCCATGGGAAAGAGGAATAGGATGTCTTAGGATTTTGAATGGTAGTGATATCAAAACCGGAGAGAAATGGCTTAACTATATAAAATTCTTTGACCATAAATTATATATTGGATAGATTATATATAAGCAATATCACTTTAATTATGGACAATTTTATTTCACTATCCATCTATTATGCATAGTTATGCATTAGATGAGAAATTTTGTTATTGTACTCACTCCGTGGTACTAACTTTACCTCTCTGATTTACATGTAACAGGCCACAGATTAGAATTATGCCACACAACCATATTCGACCAATTATCATTACTTCGATGATTCGTCACCCTCAAACGTCTACAATCTATTACATTTAAACTTAAATTTAGAACTGAATAAAAATAGTATCTTAAAATGTATTCGATCGATAAGATTGATAAAGATAAAGATATTTTCACATAAATCTTTATTGTCCTATCCAAACACTTAGCTCTTGGGATTTTACCCTATTAATTTTAAATTTGAAAAAAATCAAATATTGATAAAGAACCTTTAAAGATATCACCTACCCATTTAATTTGAAATTAGGTAAAAAAAAAAATTACCCGAATAAATGCGTTATTTATCAATTCAATTTAAATTTAAATTAAAATAAATTTGAAGGATGACTCATTTTAGTACTTGAATAAGATTCACTTAAAATCCACTAAATTTAAACACACTACCATAAGAACATACAATTTATAATTTGCAACATGCATATTTACATTTCCTTAAGTTTTATTTCATTCTTTAAATTGCACTCATTTTAAATATAGTTTATATCATTTGAAGAAAATTTATTTTGAGAAAAATGAAAGCGAAACTATTTTTTTTTTGTAAAAACAACTTAATTTCAAATTGAGGTAGTTTTAGAAGAAAATTAAATAAGAGATAAGTTCATCAATTTATGATTCGACAATTAATCGATTACAACCTGATTGATACAATTTCCATGACATCATATAATTACAAAGCTGATATCTGACGTGATCGGTGGATGCCTCACAAGGTCAATGTCTCTCTCTAAAGAACCCATACCTATGTCAATCATATTTAGATGCCAACCATGCCTTCTAATATTAAGTTGCATGAGAAATGTAAATGACTCGTGTAATTGAGTGTTTACACGAAATTAAGGTAATCCTGAAGAGCATTATGGTGTCAACGAAGTTAAGGTAATCACATTGGTCCAAATCGAAACTTTTTGTCGAGCAAATCTCATCAAGTCAAATTGATCATTTTGCGCACTTTGTTCTCGTTCTTCTTTCTCCCACTTTGACTTTGGTTCATGATCGACCAGTGAGACGTCAGTATTTTGGTTCGACACCTTTTTCATATATAAAAGAAAAGGACATTATGACTAAAAAGTGTTCCCAAGATCAACACCCTTATAGGAACACGCCGGAAGATTATCGAACGAAAGTAGATTATTACTGGCGACTAAATTATTGCCAGTGATTAAACTTCCACCTCCTGTGCAATTTGCCAATGTGACCTTTACGTCGTCACAGTATGCTTCGATGCGACCATAGCTCCTTTTCCACGACGAACCAAGCACGTATGTTCCCTGCATCTTCACGCCCAATCCGACGGTCACTGTCCCTACGGATCTCCACTCTCGATCCATGTCCTCAATTACGGCCCGTGACTTCTCCATCGTTATCTTCACCTTGATCACAGTTCTATCGGTAGACCGCAACACGAACGGCTCCGTTGACGCTGATGCGAGGGGTTGCGCTGCGTCCCAATGGTAATGGACGAAGCGCTCTACTTCGCTGAAGGACAAGTCCCCGAAATCTGTTTTCTCGAACAAGAAGGCTGCTTTCCAAGTAGCCCCGGTGGATGCGGTGACTGTGAGATTAGACACAGTCAACCCAGAGACTTTTAACATGGGGTACTCAGCCCCAGCGAGGAGGACACAACAGAACATGGCCAAAGCCATTAGTACTATAAAAGAATCCACGACACCAATAAACCATAGGTCGGACTTCCAATCGTTGGGCATTCTGCAGCTGCATTGTGGCTGGGGATTGGAACGAGGGGCATGCGATCGAGGCGGGTGGGGAGGACGGTGAAGCAAGTCGGGTGCATGTTTAGGATGAGGAACTGGGTAGCCCATGACCGCCGCTGCTTTCGGGTCGGAGGACGGAGGAGGAGGCGATGCCATTGGATAGAGGATGAGGGCTTTCGAGGGTTTTAGCGATGGGTGATGGGCGAAGGAGAGGGACTGGAGAGAGGATTTGTGTAGAGGCTGAGAAAATGAGGTTGTGGCTATATGGCGAAAGCGAAAAACTGATTTCGCTACGGAAGCGTTGAATAAACTCTTTGAACCGTTCACGGATATGCTTTTAGAGAGAGAGAAAAAAATCGAAAACAGAATTTTGTTATTTATCTTTATCTGTTTATTCAACCAATTATCATTAATTTAGTGAGTTGTCATCCCCTAAGTAGCACCGACGCGCGACACGCGACACGTTATTTATCAAAAATAGAGAATTTCGACACGTTGGGACACGTTGTATATTATATATATTTTTATATATACATGATACATTATCATTTTTTAATTTGATTCAAATAAGTAAATAAATAATAATAAAAATCCTACAATGAATTTACCCTAAAAAAAATTATACACATAAGTTTTCAAAAAATAATTATGTATAAATAAATATATTAATTAAGAAACTAAAAATAAATAATTAAATTTGAAAAAAAAGAAAGTACAAATGCTGCCTTCTCCTTCACGTCTCCACCCCGTTCTCTCTCTCTCCCTCCTCCAAATGCTGTCATAAATATATTAATTATGACAGTGAAGCTATTTTTTTTGTTGTTGTAAAAACAACTTAATTTCAAATTGAGGTAGTTTTAGAAGAAAACTAAATAAGAGATAAGTTCATTAGTTCATTATTCGGCAATTAGTCGATTACAACCTGATCGATATGATTTTCATAACATCATAAAATTACAAAGCTGAAATCTGACTTGATACGGTGGATGCCTCACAAGGCCAGTGTCTCTCTCTAAAGAACCGATACCTATGTCGATCATATTTAGATGCCAAAGATGCCTTCTAATATTAAATTGCATGAGAAATGTAAATGAGTCGTGTAATTGAGTGTTTCTTGCCATCTTAGAATAGTTTTAGTCCTGATTAGCATTATGGTGTCAACGAAGTTAAGGTAATCGCATTGGTCCAAATCGAAACTTTTTGTCAAGCAAATCTCACCCAGTCAAATTGATCATTTTGTGCACTTGGTTCTTGTTCTTCTTTCGACTTTTGTTCGTGATCAACCAACGAGACATCGGTATTTTGGTTTGACACCTTTTTCATACATGGACCGCTTCCTCTACATCCTTCACTGTTGGTCTTGGTCAAACATGGCTTTCCCCAATGTTATCCATTTTCTTTCAATATGCGCTACATTTTATAAATATGCCACGCATTCGTTTTACATAAAGTAGAAGTGAAAAAAAAACATTGATCACTAAATCATGGATATTAAAAACAAGGACATTATGGCTAAAAAGTGTCGCCGAGGTCAACACCTTTATAGGAACACGCCGGAAGATTATCGGACAGAAGAAGATTATCACCGGCGACTAAATTATGGCCGGTAAGTAAGCTTCCATCTCCTGTGGAATTCACTGAAGCAATCTTTAAATCGTCACAATATGCTTCAATGCGACAGTAGCTCCTTTTCCACCACAAGCCAAGCACGTATGTGCCCTGCATCCTCAGACCCAACCCAACGGCCACTGTCCCTACAGATCTCCACTCTCGATCCATGTCCTCGATTATGGCCTGTGGCTTCTCCATACACAGGAGGTTCAAGTAGGAGGGTTAAAGACTCTTCACCTCCTCTCCATGCACAGGAGGTTCGACCATCTATTTGGACACCTGTAAGACGAAGCAGTCTATTGGATTGATGTTTCTTAAGAAATTGAAACTTTTTCAAGAATGATTTTGGGTGCTCTAAAAGCCCTTGGGCAAATGCAAGTACCCCTTTAAAGTGCCTTAGCTCAAGGCAGATTCATAGAAGCTTTGAGCTTTAACATTTTCGAAATACTAATAATTTTTTTTCTATCAATTCTGCCCTCACTAAGTTCTTGTGATTGTTTCAATTTCTTCGTGTTGCTTTCGTATTATGATTTGTTTGTTTTCATTTGCCTAGTCGAGTTCACCTTAGGATCATAATCAACCTAAAAATGTCACATGTAGTCTTAGTGGACAAGAACATTTTTTTTTTTCATTTGCCTAGTCGAATTCGCTTTGGCTCTATGCCTGTCCTGTGGCATGACACCTGTAACAATTTAGCTACGAGGCTCACATTTAAGTCAGTTAAGCAAATCCTTTTCTGAAAAAAAAAAAGCCTATGTTTTTCCAAGTGGCAGGAGGCATGACAGAGTATTGTACTTAATTTGAAGTTGATAAAAAAAAATAGGAGAGATTTTTGTGAGTTTTATTTAAAACCCTAAACTGATTACCACCAAAAGTCCTAAACTGATACATTTGTGACAAATTCTTCTCCGTTAGTTTCCGTTAAATTGGATTAATACCACGAAAAGTCACAAACTGGTACACTTATGACAAATTGAGTGTAAAACCCCAAACTGGTACATCCATCAACTGCCACGTATCATCCAACTCAACAATTCAACTGTAAAATTTAACGGAAACTATCATAGAGTAAATTTGTCACAGGTATACCAATTTTGGATTTTTCGTGGTATTAACCATTTATTTAATTAGTTTTTAGTTCGATAGGTTTTTCTTTTAATCTTACATGTCAAATAGAATTTAAATAATGGATGAGGAGAGATGTTCTTTGAGTTTTAACATAGTTGTTGAGATTGGATGAAGATGTCATTTAAAGAATATGACATTGAAATCCACATATTCTAAAATGAAATTAAAACGAATTTATGAATAAGCTAATACATTCAGACTTTTCTTTATATTATATGTCTATTTCAGTTAATTTTTAAGTCTGATGAATCCAATTTGACAAATATTTTTACTTGGTATTTTCTACGCTCAGCAAAGAACAACCCCATATATTATACGTGTTAAAAGTTATAGGTCATATTAACAAAAAGGAGAATAAATATATATAAAATGCGTTCACTACGCGGGCCCAAGTAACTAGCTTAAAGTTTAGGGTTAATACCGCGAAAAACCCCATACTAGTACACCTGTGACAATTTTACCCCAAATTAGTTTTTTAACCACCAAAAACCCCAAACTGGTACACCTGTGACAAATTTACCCACCGTTAATTTCCGTTAAATTTTACCATCAAATTGTTGAGTTTGATGACACGTGGCAGTTGACAGGTGTACCAGTTTGGAGTTCTACCACCTTGTTTGTCACAGATTTACCAATTTATGATTTTTCGTGGTATTAATCCAATATAACGGAGGGTAAATTTGTCACAAGTGTACCAATTTGGGGGTTTTTGATGATCAAAAAATTAGTTCGGGGTAAAATTGTCATAATTGTACCAATTTGAGATTTTTGGTGGTCAAAAAATTAGTTCGGGATAAATTTGTCACAAGTGTAGCAGTTTTGGGTTTTTTGTAATATTAATCCTAAAGTTTAAAAGAACTCTCTAGGCGTATTCTTTAGTGACTTGAATTTTAGTCCACAACTCATTTCAAATGTATTTTGTTCATTGTACAATGACGAAACGTTTAATTTAAAGGTTTTTTTTTTGGTAAAGTAAGTAGTATATAACTTTTCAACGCGCAATATACAGCAAGTGAGGCCGAACACAAAAATCTCGTACCTGAGGAGACAAAAAGTGTCCCGACCGATACAAAGGTGTTGCGGCTAACATAACAAGCTCAAGAAGCGCTATACAAAGAAGGCTACACGGCAGCCAACAGACAACAACAACTACGAGGGAGGGTGAGCTGAATATGGAATCAGATATGCCCCAACTGGCTTGAATCCTTCTGTTCCGAGGATTGTCTTGAACCGGCTTGAGAGAAATGCCTTTGTCTCTAACTGCCTTGGCAAGATGGTTGCGGAGAGCAGGCATAAACAGAGTGCTATTTCTGAAAAGGATATTATTTCGTTCAATCCAAATGAGATGGCACAATGCCCCAAAAGCAAACCGAGAAATACGGTGATAAAAGCTATCACCACCAATAAAACGAGTATCCCATCGAAGGTTCTGTTCCCAGGACCCGTTGCGCCAAGAAAGATGACAGTTAGAAGCCCAGTCTTGCGCTAGGGACCCCGTAACATTGCACCCAAAGAACAGATGATCAACCGAGTCTGGTCTAGTGTGACAAAAGGCACATAAACCTTCAGAAATTCTATGATAATTCAAGAGGAATACCTGCGTGGGAAGCCTATTTAAGGCCATTAACCACAACAAAAAACCATGGCGCGGTGCAATATGACAGTCCCAAATGAAGGTATCCCAGTAAACCACTTGTCCTCTTGCCCGGACCAACTCCCAAGCTGAAGTAATAGAGAAGGCTCCAGACGAATGTCCAAGCCAGACAAAGTGGTCTGGTGTGTCAACATTGAGTATTGGGAGAGAATATGTCCACGAGTTGAATGATTGCACCACATTGGAATGGTGCCAATATGAAGAAAGGAATTCACAAACCGAGGCCGAGCGTGGGATACCAGAACAGAAGATATCCCTATCTGAAAAGATCAAATGAAGTGGGCCTTTTGGATGCCAAGAATCAAACCAGAAAGAAGCGGTTTTGCCATTGCCTATTCGCCATTTGAATTGCGATTAGAATGTCTGGCGAAGATCCAGAATCTTCTTCCATGTTCAGGAGCAAACAGTCGGTTTGGCCACAACCCAGAAATTCTTTAATTTGAGGAAATTTGAGTGAATCCATTTACACCATAGGGATTCTTTGTCTGTGAAAAGGATCCAAATATGTTTAAGCATAGCCGCTTGGTTGCAATCAATGAGCCTTCGTATGCCCAATCCGCCTTCTTGCTTGGGAAGACAAACACGACTCCAGGATACTTTGGCCCCACCAACCCCTAAATCAGGACCTTTCCAAAGGAATTGTCTGAGAATCAGTTCAATTCTCGCTATGACCGACCGGGGGAGGGTGAAAATAGAGGCCTAAAAGACATGTATGGCGTGAAGCACAGATTTAATCAACTGCAGGCATCCCGCAAAAGAGAGA